AACAGAGCAGTTAGAAAATAAACTTTCTCCTCACTCCAAAATCCCTAAACAGATGCAACATGTTGCCCTCTCTTCACAGTTCATCTGTGACTCTGCTTTCCATAAATAAACACCTTACAATATCTCCCTATTTTTGACAATTTCTGATTGCTGAGCAGTAAAAAGGGTTGCAGGTTTTCAAGATGTGATGTATAGTAAGCAGATTTTCTTGGTGAAAATTTCTGTATTGATATCATGCCCATACATGAATAGGCATGGATACTATGGGCATCCAGGCCAGAGGGACAATTGTGATTAATTCCTGATGTAACTCCATCTCACACAGAATGTAAACTGGATTTTTAAATTCAAATCCAGGAGTTAGCCAATATACTGATGTGAACAGAGAAAGCATACCAGCATCTGCAATTGCTACAAAAGAATACAGGGAGTGAGTTAAATCCTTTTTTACAAGTGAAACTCACAGAGGGTTCCCATCTAGAAGGAAAACAGCTATGAAACAGACTCTCGTGCAAACGTGACAGCACTGAAGATTCGTTTCTGTGTCATTAAAGGTCAGACACAAATTTTTTCTTTTACCATTCTCTCTTCCTTGTTGTATTATGACAAAAACTCATCCTCACCCTGCTGCCTGGGCTACCAGCTCAGCTTTATAGGGCAGGATAAAGCTGCAAATGAGATGTAAATACCTCTTTAAAAAACACACACTGTAAACACAAAGTGGTGGGGGGTTGAAGGTATAAATCAAGTAATTGCTCATTGTATTTGCAATTTCTTTCCTTTCAGTTGGAACTCCAAGAAGCTGAAACCACCCCACTGCCGTGACAGGGTCTGCTGCAGTATAGCTCTCAAAGCAATTACAAACCAGTGTTTCTGTGCAGTCCACTATGGGAAGGCATAGGATACGCTTTCCCTCAAAAAAAGAAATAAAAACAATGATAAAAGAATAAACATAGAGGAAAGTGCCTGCTTTTCCAATCTGTCAAAAATTACTTCTGCAGCACTTCTACATTGCTCGTAACAGAAGCATGAAACTCAGTGGCAAGCAGAGCCAAGAGGTATGGGGGCTTTCCAAGCTCCACTGTTCAAAACAGTCATTAACCAGGAATACATCTGTTAGTCTAAAAGCAAAGCTATCTGATATGCTCTGGCAAGTTACAATGGCGTTAAACAGGTTGGAAACAAAAGTTCAAGAGACAGACAACTTTTGAAAAAAAAAAGTTGTCAAGCTTTTAAGGGCAGGAAATAATGGGAAATGAAGTTGGGTACTTGATTTACATATAAGTTTTTTTTGTAGAGGTGTTTTCTGTGTGGGTTGTTTGTGTGCCAAAGTCTCACAGGATCATCTAGAACAACACGTTGGAAATTCAAGAATTCTTCACTTATAAAGATTGCATGTTCAATAACTTCAAAGGGAAAATATTTCCTTCAGTGATCATTTACAGAAAAAAAACCTCCAAGCAACACCATTCTCTTCTACTTCTCACATAAGAACTAGACTTTTACAATCAAAACGATGAGGTATCAGTTCACCTAATAGAGTAAATGTAAGTATCCCATGCTGTTATTGGTAGAATTATCCCCAAAAAAGCATTGACTCTGTTATTGTAAACTCCAGTGCAAATAGATGTACAACTATAAGCTTGTCAGAGCTGGCACAGGCAACCAATGAATTCTCTTTAGATTCCCAAATTTCTACTGCCCTGTCAGCAATATCTCAAACTTGGAAGTCAACAACAGTCCCTGTGTGAAGTGTTTGGAAGAGTTAGCACATCAGAGCTGCTTTTAAAAAAAAAAAAAAAAAAAAAAAAAAAAAAAAAAAAAAAGTTGCATTTTGATAGAAATAATTTTTTTCTTAACCAAACACTTATGTTTGTTTTTCTAACTAACTTAATGCAGTCTGCATTTCCATTTTGTGTTAGTTAGTAAAACACATGAAGATTTATGAAAGAAACATCATACTGGAGTAAATATCATCCTAGTAAATATCATCCTGTCTAGGTTTTAGTATGAAAAATAGAGATATCAGTGTAGATAACTTGTGGTGCAATAGTATTTTCTAGCCATTGTTTGTTACTTGCTTATAAATAAACCATCAGTAGTTAAGTGGGGGGGGAAGGGGGGGAACAGTATACTTAAGTGTACTCTAAAATACAATTCTATGGAACAGGGTTTTCTTCATTTTATTTCTTATTTGTTTCTTACTTTCACTGTTAAAGTCTGTGTAACTGAATATACTTTTAGTGTCTCTGCCTTGGACTATGTAATAAAGACTGAAAGCCAAATCCTTGTGTGTTGTAAATTGAAGTAATACTATTCTTGTTTCACGAGTGTGATGTGGCTAAATATGTATATCAGCATAATATGAAACTACTCATAGCAGAAGTGCCTTTTTTCCATTTTCTGTTGAAAATTTTGCCATGCTGTCATAGAGATTCCATATTTAATTTTGTATTAGTCTAGCAAGATTTCCTCATGGTCATCATTAAAGTTTAAACCAGATCTGTCATCATCTGACTTATAAAAAAGCATGGGATAGGAACTTGAAAAAAAATTGGATGTGTTATTTTGCACAGCAGTATTATTGAACTAACAAGAAGAACATAAACTAAAGAAGAAATGCAAGTTAAGTAGAGCTGTCCAACAGCACTGCTTCTAGCAAGATCTGAACATCTATCATGCTAACATACAACAAGCTGAAATACAGTAAACAAGTATTGCAAAAGCCTTCAGCAGTAAATCAAGAAGAAAACTAAGGTCATAGTTTAATGTCTAGTTTGAAGTACCTTAGCTGTTACAGAATTTGCATAATGAGCTGAAAACATCATTTCTGTACTAGGAACGTAACAAAGCTCATGGGTAAAATCCCTTGATTTGCTAACAGCCTAAAATTTGAAAAGATATTTTAGGCTTCTACAGTCCAATAATTAATTGAGCAACCTGACTGCAAATATCTTTAGTAGGACTAATGTTGTATTGTAGGCATAATGGTCTGAGGATATGAGGAAGCAAATTTTATTAGTAGAACATTAGCAAAAATAAGTTAAATGCTCTGTTTGTTTATCAAAAGACATGAATGTTCGCTGCAGAGAAAGTATCAAGTTGTTACACAATCTGTATATTTTCACTATAATCCTTTAATAAAAATGTTTGTGTTTCTTGTGTACTTGCACATATTATATTCACATCACAGTATACATTGATCATCATGCCCTTTTTTAATAGCTCAGCTCTAGAAAATGCTATCTATCAACCAATACCAACAAATCACCTTGGAGGTTTTTGATTATCTAACTGCATTAAAGAACGCCTACCTAAAAAAGGAGAACATGCAGATAGTTCATTTCTTTTTAATAACAGGCATACATATCCATTCCTATGATTCTGTAATGCATACACACAGAATGCATAGTACAGCACAGAGGACCTCAGTGAAGTTTTATATAGAGAAGAAAGCAAGTAAATCTTCAAAATTAACGGCCCTTCTGTACGTCCCTTATGCATACAAATTTCTTGAAGAGTACAAGTGAGCTAAAGCAAGCCAGCAGCTGCTCTCAGCCTGTTCCCAGCCTATGCAAGTCCCTCAAAAACCCTTTTGTCCTCAAGGAATGTATCTGCTGCCACCAGTAGTCCTACTAGCCCAATTACACAAGGCAACAGAATCCCAAAGCAATCCCAAAGCAAAACTGCATCAAACCCCATGTTCCACTTGTCTCATAGACACCATCAAGCCACAAAACAATTGAGATTAGCAGAACACATGCTGATGTCAGGAAAAGACTGGGAGGTAATGTGAACATACCACAGTATGTTCACTTCCCAGTGACATATTTGGATGTAGAAGACATTCATAATAAGTAAGCTCACTGTGTCTGAACTGTAGAGGCTGACCTGAACTGTGATGGACAATACTGGCAACTCAGCCAGCCTTCAATCTTACTGCAATTTTGTCTGCAAGGAAGAAAAATGAAAACTCACAATACCAACTTAGAGCTTCCCTGATCACTGTACACATCTCAGACAGACAGCAGGGCTAATTCTATTTATGATCCTAGGTACAGTGTAAGAACACTGCACAGATCCCCAATAAGATATAGCTGACCTCTGGGATGTAGAGCCACATGCAGTACCCACAAGGCCACAGCAAAATAACTCATCAAATTAAGCGCAGGACCTGATACTTTTCTAAGCACGGGAATCTTTACAGCCATCCTCTATTCCTACTCTCTCTGTTATACTTCACAGTAAGGATCAGCACAACTATGCACGTAGACCTGCATTCAGCTTCTGCACTCAACATCAAATTAATTTCTCAGAAACAAATGCAGTTTTGGAGTGATGTGAAATGGCAAGTTAAATCCCTAAATGATGCCTTTGTGAGAACATGTAGCATGAAGATAAAAGACAGACATTTACTGTGCATTACTCCAATTAATCACTCTAATTCAACATCCTTTTCTGGAGTGCACACAAATGTGCATATACCCATGGATGCTTAAATAAAAGTGTATTATTGAATGTTCACAGTACCTTTTGCTGTATGATACTTCTTAGATAATGTTTTACTTCACTGGTATTTTCATCATCGTTACAAAGGGAAAAACAATACTTCTCTTTTCACTTATCAAAATCCCCAAAATAAACATCAGTTACATTAGTAGAAACTATGCATTTAAGAAGAATAATCTAGAAAGGAACACAAATGGAAAAAAAAAATTACGCAATAAGCAGAAGATTGTTGTTATGTTGGGCAATAAAGAGCAGTAGGATAACTGATTTTTCACCAGACAGGAGGTAATACAGCAACTACAAAGCAAAGGCAGAAATTTTAAAGAAAAAAGCAGGGAGAACATAGGGAGTATTGGAGGAGAGGGAGAAGCTTATTACAGCAGCCTGTGGTTTTATTCAATTGTAGGTATTTCTGATTTCACTGAATTTCCATACACTGCTCTGGTTCTTCTGTGGGTTTCTGTGGTTTTGTTTTGTTACTTTTCATTCTGTTTTGTTTTTTGTTTCTTTGTTTGTTTGTTTTGTCTTTTTTCCCCAACACACTTCTAAGTTATTTCATACTCCTGATATATGTCTATTCAGGACCTGTAAGAGATTTGCTGAAGTTTTGCAGTGATTATATAAATATTACTGCTATTAGTACTATTTCTTTAAAACAAAAAAACTCTGAAGATTTTTCAAACAGGGTTTTGCTCATCCCTTGTAGGTAGATTCATCAATCCATAGATTTGAAGGCAAAAAACAAATGCTATGATCTTCTGTTACAACTTTTTACGTAACCACTCTGCTAGATGATTTAATCTAGACCACTGTGTAATGTAATGAAAACAAGTGCATGATGTAGTCTTGATAATTACTTTTTTTTTAATTTTATATTTTAATTTAGGGATGGGAGGGGTGGTGTTCCTGATTTAATGAGTTTAAAGTTCAAAAACCCCCATGATACTTTGGTTCAAAACATATATCTGCTACATATGTTTTAAAAGTGAAGCTACTTGAACTGGGCAGTGCTTATCTTCCTATCTGTTCTGACAATTTCAGTGGGAGTTCAAGGACTGCCTGCTGTTAGAAACCACTTCCATGCATATGGGAATTTTTTTTTAAGTTTGCACTTGTAAGATACATTTCTTACAGGGATTAATTTGATCATTTCCCTTGAGTAAAATCAAGGCAGAGAGGCAGGCTCCTTCAGGCAATCCAGAGCATTTACCAGCTGGGTACTTCATCTGAATCAGGATGACATTCAACATCATTAGGAAAAAAAGAGATCATATCAAAACCTTCCTAATTCTCTGAAGAAATTAAACGAGACATTTTGAATTTCTCAGTATTCTCCATAAAAGGCACAGTTTTCACATTTTCTACTCATGATGTATTACTTACTGCCAACTAGCCATCTTTTCAGTGTTGGTGTAGAGAACCAAAGTTCCAAACACATGCATGTCATTTCACTAATGTGTTCATATACTGACCTCTGTCCTTCCTGAAAAAATACATGTATGGGGGCAATGTTCTTCCAAGAGTCACATTCTCCAAGGGCTTTATTTACTTTTCCAGCATAATCCCAGTAGCTCCTACTCATTAAATTATTTGCTGTTATCTATGAAGGTGTCACAGTTACCTTCCTTAAGCATATATTTTTGTTCCCAAATTCATGCCTTGGTATCTATGTGCATTAAGACATACACAGATAAATTCAAGGAGCATTCAAACATGAGTTTAAACATGAAGTTGAAACAAACTCTCCAATCTCTTTAAAACTATCCTACTATTAAATAGTAAGAAGATATATATTTCAATAAAAAACACCTCAGTTAGCTATTCACATTCAAATTTAAAACTTCCACTGCAGCATATCTAGTAGACAGAAACACAGACAGTGTGTCTGTGAATGTGTAATTATGCTGCTAATTCTCCTAAATATACATTATACAGTGAACACAGAGTGTCTATGCTACCTCTACAGCATAGCTTGTTTAGGAGCAAAAAAAAAGCCTTCCCACATCTGAATTTCCAATGACAGAGATAATGATGGCAATATTAAAAGACAGTGTAAATTCTATATCAAATACTTAAAAAAAAAAATTAGTCTTATTGCTCTGTAATGAACTGTATTATTCCAGAGGCCATAAACAGAGAGGGAGATTATAGTTATCAGTATCAGCAATAGAAGGCCTCCTGTTCAGAATTCATTTATGGACAATGCTTGTCCTCTCTCTTAACAAGAAATCCATGTTATTACATAAAGCAAATATTCAGTAAAAAGGTTTAGTATGTACGTTCACAGACCCATTGAACAGTTATATAGAATTGGAAGAAAACTCAAGGAGGGGAGTTGAAAGTTATGGTTCTGTACTAGGTTAAAATTCAGTGAAAATATATGAAAGTACAAGTAGTTTCACCTTTATTCTATTTGCAAGAAACAGATTGAAAAAGAGAATATTTTGATGTTCAGGAGAAATAACTGAGTCAAATTAGAAGCTACATACCAAAGGAGGATACACTGTCCATCTTGTTTTCTTGATTGCAGACTTCAGTGTTGACAATGTCATATATAATACAGTATAGTATTTAACGTATTTTCTCCAATCGGTTGTCAGTCCTGCCACAAGAGCAATCAGTTTGATCCTAGATAATGTAGGTAAAAGGTTTTTTTTTTTAAATAAAAAACAGATATTGAAAGGAAGCTTGTTAGCTTGTAGTAGAAGGCTCTCAAGAGAACTCAGCAGAACATTAATATCATAATTCTGAGAAAATCAAATAACTTAGATGTGAGTCACCAGTAAAATTATTGAATTGCCTCTGGATAACTGTAGCTAATATTTTTGTATTATTTTTTTCAAAACACAGGTCCTATGCCTAAATTTTTTGTTGTTGTTGTTCAAAAAACAGTAAATGCCAAGTAGCAAGAGGAATAGAAACACCCCTAAGGGGACTGTGGCTGCAGGCAACCTACATTTGGGCAGAGAAACAACCAAGGTTACCAAGGTCCAAGAGTACTTGGACCACTGTGGTTGTAGATTATTTCCAGAAAACCTGAATCCCAAAGTGTAAATTTGCAATGAAGTAAGCAAAGTATTCCTGAGACTGGAGTTTACACTCATATGGTTGCATGGTTTGTGCAAATGCATTTCCGATTGCACACAGCTATATTTTGGCTTGAGAAGAGACAAAGTCACTCAAGCAATATCTGGTTTATGGACTCTAACTCTTCAGACAGTAAACGGTGGTTATCATCATGTCTAGGATGAAATTCCTCTTGACAGAAGGGATGCTTGAAGAGGAAATCTCTATCTTTCCTCTTGCAGTAGACACCTTTCCCCCAGCAAATTATCATCAGTCCTCAAGATATAAAAAATACAATGTTATCATTGACTGTCACAGTCTACATTGTCATCACCTGTTTGATTAGTAGAGCGGAATGCTGGAATTAATTCACAAAGCAGCTCTCAGCAGTAAGCACTTATCATCGTGTTACAAATGGGGTTGAATCACTGGATAGGAGTGACTTAATCAAAATCATATTACCATCTGTGAATGAAAAACAAGTTAGGTACCTCAAATGTACATTCAAACTACCCTCTAAGCTTTGTCATAGGATAATAATATAGATCAAGGATAAGAAGGATATTGAGTGGATAATAATACAGATAAAGATGCAGATAATAATCTGCACCTTTAGCTCTCATTATGCCAAACTAAAACCAACCGCAGGGACAAATTTCAGTCTACTCTGGACCTCCTACCTGGAATTGATCCCATTTGGTCATGGAGGACCTATAATAGAGATCCTAAATTATTTTTCTCCTGAATCCTGATATTTTGTTAGCCTGCATTCAAATACCTTCTTAGTAGACATCAGGTTTTGCTAGAAGCAAAGCAAAGATAGGTGCACGATGCAGTGATCTCTGACATCTGTAACATCTTATACATCCAGTATTCACTCAAACATTCTCATCTTAACTTTAAAACTGTCACCAAAACCAACCAACATGAGGTACCTTATATATTTCTATATCTGGACTTTGTTCCTAGGAGTTATTTCATGCTCAAATTTTTGTATGGCTAGTGCTGCCACACAAATTCTATCTTCATCACTCCTCTGAATCCCCAAGAATAAAGAAAGGGTTCTTTGTTTAATAAGTGGGATATCTGCCCCCATTTTCAAGACATTTTTGCCTCCAAAGTGCAGATGTTTTCTTGCTGCCTCAACCCTGAGTACTCTCACCTGCTTCTTCCAGCCAGTGTCAGCATCATAATTAATCTTTTTTCTTGTATTAGAAACCTATTTTGGAACCAACACATAAGGTGTGGTCATCTGCAATTCTTCAATTTGTCATCAGTGAGTTTACTAGAATAAATAATTTCACAGCAAATAAATAACGCTCTTGATGAAAGATCACATCAATCTGGAAAGGTGATATTTGTGTTTTACAGCAGTACGGAATTTTACATTCCGTATGCTATTCATCCTTCTGGCATTTGTAGAGTGAAATTCTCAAATCACACAAAAAAGAGCACCAGCACCTGGGCCATTTTCACCACTGCTATAATTTATTAACTTAAGTGCTAGCCAAGAATTTACTGCCTGTATTATAAATAGGAGTTAAGAAAATGCACACCTTAGAAATGTACCCTATACTTTAGCAGCAGATGTGTAAGAATACAAATAATCCAGTAGATGATTGGAAGATGGTTTCCTTTGCAAGGACAATGATAAGTGGAGATTCCTCTAAATTTTAATCTGTCTTTGTGTGCCATATCATCACGGCTGTGGTTTTGGATTTTATGAGACTGCACAGATATTACATGCCATTGTCCTTAACATCACCGTATGAACATTTTTGACAAAACAACCTATGACTTTTCAACTCTGATTTTTTAGGGTGGTCTACAGAACTAGCTGAAATTCATTGATGTTAAATAACTAGATAATAAAAATCATCCACACTAAGATATGAATTTGATGACAGGTTTTTTCTCCCATTCTAAATGCAATCATTTCATATAATCATAGAATCACAAGGTTGGAAACGACCTACAAGATCATCTAGTCCAACCGTCTCCTCATCACCATTGCCACCACTAGCACTAAACCATATCAAGCTGCACATCATCCAGATGCCTCTTGCACACTGCTTTCCTTTCCCCTCCCAGAAATATTTTCCCTCTCTTTCTGATATCCACTTCTGCATGGAACATTTTCCCCTTTGGACTGCACTTTGCTTGAATTTACTATTAGCTCAGATCTACACTGGGCTGGTGTGCCAGACAGCATCTCCACTTTCCCACCTGCAGTAATCACTTTCACCTCATCTAGAACTTGCTCTACAGGAAAGTGAGACCATCACACCTACAGCAGTAATACGATCACTTCCCCTCTCACATATAATTGTGCACACTTATATTTTGCTTGCTATCTCACTGACAGCCAGCAGGCTGTGCTAAGGGATCAGTTTTCTCTATCAGAAAAAATGCTGAGAACTATTTTCCCAAAGGCACTGCAGAGAGAACCTGCATGTCTGCCAGAGAAAAGCATCTGTCTGCCTAGGATTGAGAAGAGGAAAGATGTACATTTCCACATCAAAATAAAAGAGCAGCTTGTTATCATGGACATTATTCCATGTGCTATCAGAGTTTGTATCACACAATTTTCTATACCTCTAGTAGCAACAACTAAAATATTTCTTGAAAACAAAATGATAATATAGGTATTTTCCCCTTGATAGCCAGTAGTAAGTACTTACTTACTTCCAGCCTATGATAACGTCAGAAGAATTACAACCCCTTTCCAAAAAATGAAATAATCAAACACAACAATTGAGAAGCCAGGAATGGAATGAGATGGCCATGTCCTCTCTTTGTCACTGGTAAACATCTCATCTTCAATCCCACTGAGAAAGTCTGAATGCCAAGGAAAACCCAGTATTTTTAGTTTTATTTTTAAGCTGATGTAAAACAAGTACCTGAATCATAATGAGAAATTTTATTTCTCTTTTTATAGAACTTCAGAAACTATTACATATTTTGCGCTACAACAGGAGGTTTCTCTCACTTGCCTGCATATGAGAATTCCTCTCATATCAGAATTCCTGCAGCAAGTATGCAAGGAAAGATCCTAAGGAAACGGTGCTAGTTTTTGTAGGATTTTGGCTTACATATCCAGAAATAAAAGAGGTAGCAGAAACACTTGGTTCTGTGTGAAGCAGGAAAAGTAAAAGCACAGGCTGAGATCAGATTAAATCTCACTTGGAATTTGGTGCCTCGTTTTGTTTTCACAACCACATGTTGCAAAGTAAAAGAAAAACAAAATCATCACTTGGTGAAAGTAAAGCTTTGTGGGAAGCAGCATCAAGACAATGCTCTCCTTCTATGAGGAAGAGATCCCCTTCTTTTCTCCCACTTATTCAGCTCCCTCTTCCTTCTTTGCCTTCCCACACAATATATCTTCCTCCTTTGTAACAGCTCTGGCAGCTACTGAACTTCTCCATAAGCCAATGTATTGCCATAGAATGTTATCCATCTTGTTGGGTCTGTTCCTTGCTGCCTGACACTACTGAGCTAACAGAGGTGCTAAGAAATGAGCAGAGCAACATGAAGCAACAAGTGGGAGCATGTAGGATGCTGGGGGAAGAGAGGGTGCACTTCTTTCTGTGCAGCTGTAGAGATGAGCTCACTTCATAGGAAATACCCTTCTGTGGTGCTCTGTCTGCTTGGCCTGGACAGCTAAACTGAAACTTTTTACAAAGATCCCAATTCCTTGTTAATTGAAACTTGCTGCACTGAGAGTTGAAAAAATCCAACCATGCCTCACAACATTCAAAAGAAAGCATAAGGCATGAGGTATCCTTCCTTAGTGGTAGCTACAGCAAGCAATGAAAGAGAATTAGCTAATTTAAAAACAGAACTCCCAAAACTGCATTGCCAGACAGTGGAAAGCGTTTCTCACTCAAACCACTCCTTGATTCTTCCTGGCTCCAAATTACTCAGTTTACTATTAATAATAGTCCCAAGAAGAATTAAATTGCTTTTAGGAACCAGCAGGTACTATCTTATTATGTAGCAGCAAACTGAAAAAATCTGCAGTGAAAAAAAAAATATGATAAGCAAAATACTCCTTCGTTTCAACGTTAATTGACAAGTGCAAACATAAGGCTCTCGTTCCCCAAGCTGTGAGCATCGCTACATTAAAATCAAGTCACACATGTGGGCAACAAGCAGGGAAAAGGCAGTGCTGAGTTCAAACACTGTGCCTTGAGTTTGCAACTAGTGAATCAGATAGATTTAGAAGATAGAGTATTAAATTAGTACCTGCCTACTGTTGCAGGCCCTCTCCCTGCATAGTTGATATCCTTGAGGATATTCCTTTAGGTATGGCCATCCATGTCTACACAGAGTTTAACGGAGTAGGCTCATCAATTCCTCTTTTTAGCTGTTCCTCAACACTGAAAGCTTTACACGACAGCACTGCCATTATTACGCACACGTGGCATTTCATCAGGAGAGTAATTATGCTAAGCATTCAGGAGTAAAGTACCTAAATATTTCCTGGATGGGCATTAGTCTGCTTTCACATGATAGTGAAATGTTTTCCAATCTTCTTTTCTTTATATTAAGATTGGATAAGTAAAACAATCATAAGCAACTTCAAGATCCAGAATAATGTGTGCAGGTCCTAAGGCATCTAGGGACCCAGGGAGCACTAAAATTCATACAATTCCTAAGGTACAATCTAATCATATAAGCAGTATGCCCTTTAGAAATGCAACAAACTTACATTCTCAAAATGGATCTCATATGTATCAGATGGGATGGATAAGCCCCCTGACACTGTAGTAGCTAGAACGGTTTCCCAAGGAAATGAATTTTCAGTGTTAAAGGCTGAGTAACATGAAATCAGTCATTTCATGGTAATGCATTAAAGATGATGAACTTTCAAGGAATTACATGCATATTCTATTTTTCAGTTTTTGCCAGCTCATAAGCCACTCCCCTAGATTTTTACCACAAAGAAATAAAATAGAAAAACAATAGTTTTTCCAGAGCTGACAGATTTTGCATCTTTACTCACAGCAAATTTCAAGACATTCAGTACTCTCTTTAACATCTATCAACCTTTTCTTCCATATTGGATTGCCTAGCTTTTGGCAAGTTTAGTTCCTGTCACTCTTATGCACAGAAACAAGAATTTCATAGATCATAGCTGAGAGAATTTTGGTCCTGTTTGCCACCTCAATTTTTATTTCATTTAGTAGAGGACCTAGTTCTTGAAAAAGAAAGAACATGGAAGCTTGGAGCAGATCAAAACAGGATAAGTTAAATGTTCAAGGAATGCTGAATGACATCTTAAAATGTCTGCTGCTTCAAAATGTCTCACATGAAACAGGAAATACCATTCTGGCACTTTTACTACAAGAAAACCACTTTGGTTTCCTGCTAACAGAAAGGCATTTCTTACATAAATAAGGCTAGCAAGGCTCTCATTGCAATTAGTCACTCCTGTGTAACCAAACATATAGGGAGGTAGGAAGGGGAAATTTCCACCACAGCTCAAGAATTTTCCTTACACGGATTTCCTTGATACTTCAAGAGACAGAAAATACAAGTTTTTATATTAAGTTTGTAGGAGACAACTAAGCTCACAGGCTTCCATATGAGAAACAGCATGCTTATACTTTTTTTTTTCTAGTGAAAACTGATTTAAAATTACCACATTCTACACAGTTTTAAGCCAAATATCACCTTTTTCCCCCCCACATTCCTGACTGATATAAAGCAATTTTTTTTCCCATATGAACGTTTCCTCCAAAAAGAAAATTATCTCCAGAAAAGGAGGTTATATTACATAATTTATTCTTGTTTCCTCTGCAACTCAGTATTGAGTAAATCACCAGAATTATATGCAGAAACAATTCTCAAACCCAGCATGACACTTTTCCTATCTTAGGCAAAGAAATGTGATCTCAACTCATGAGATCTACAGCCTCAAAACAGAGAGATTTGATTTCCAGAAAAGCTACCAGAGACTGACGTAACACCTCCCCACAGTATGAGTCAGTAATGCAGTCCTTCCAAATTGAGACCAACCAAATTTATGCTCAGGTACCAGTTATCCTAAATATGACTGAGCAGAGCAAACAGTTGTCCAAGCTTCTCCTGCTGACAATGGCTCCCTGTCACGTCCACCAGTTACAGCCGTTGTCCCATGTATTGTTCTTCTCCATCTGTGTCTCTCCCATTGCTGAATGGATGAATGGATTGATGAATCCAGGTGAAAAATGTTGCATTAATTAATAATGCTAGAAATTTAATCCCATTTTATTAACATTTTCACTTCTTATTTCCCATGCTTTCCATTTGTTTGGGGTCTAAAAAGCAGCTGAAGAGAATGGAGAGAACACTGCACTTGCAAAAAACCCATATATTTTTCTTGAACACACAGGAATTCTCTAAAATAATATCTGAATTAGAAGTAACCCTGATCAATCAATTTCTGCTCTTTTCTAAGAGGGTGATATAACCCATCCTGAGATTTCCAAAAACTCAGTAGCTCAACAATAATTACCTACTAACCAATGGAAAGAGAGTAATTTAAAGTTATTTTAGGCTATTTTAACAAAGTAAAAAAAAAAAAATAGTAGAATTCAGGCAGTCTGAGGACATTTGTCTCTGCATTTAAGAAACCTGTTTTGCATATCATGGTATAAACTGTGTGAAAAATGTTGTATAGGCTCCCTACTTCTTTCTGTAGTGTGATTCAGACCTACTTCAGCAAATGGAGTTGGCTAGGAATTTATGCAGAACTGCAGGGCACTGACTAGTGCAGTCAGCAACAGAGCAGTTAAGCATGTCTTTGTTCATAAGATCTAACTATTGAAGATGCTTTTGAAAAGAAATTGCATTACATGCCTTGCTTCTGCATGGTCAGAAATTATCACTTATACGATGGTTTCCTAGTAATATCAGCTTTTGAATAACCTCAGGTTTTTACCTGCTTCCCCATTTAGTCATTGCTACCCACTTCCAGGTATCATCTAACTTCTAATCCCCACCAGCAAATTAACTAACTCCAGTTATTAAGTCCTATGCCAACATTGTTCCTGACCCTCACATTCCTAAAACCTTTTGTAATTGAGGCAATGATGCAATCCCGAGAGCAGCTCTGCATTCAACCAGCTACCATCTGCTCAAGTATCCTTCTCTAGTAATGTCTATATCAAAGGAAATCTGCTGACTGTTAACATTGCAACATTAACAATTGGAATTACTGCTTAGTAGGCTGAAATTATTTCATGTTACTACTATTTGTTTTCTTGATCAAGATACAATAAAATATATCTCTGATAAGAACAGGTGAATATGCTGTATTTTGCTTTAAAAGATAAACCCCATTAAAAACTAATGACAGTATCTTTACAAGATAGCAAACAGAAGAGCAGATTCCCACAGTACTTGTAGTGGCATCATTTGGAGTATGGTGGGTTAATTCTTGCTTTTCAAAACTCTGAAAAGTTCCTCCTACTTGCATTAATGCTGAATATGGAAAAGCAAAAAACAAACCCTTGCCTTAAAATACACAGATTTTCTTCATCTGAATCACAAAGCTAGGTTGAAAACAGAATAGGCAGTTACAGTAGAAGTATCAAGGTACTCTCCATTCAAGAGCCCTTTCAGTGATTTATACTGGAACAAAGAGGCATTTCAAGTCAACATGCAAGCACTCTCACCTAAGTGAGTCTGGTCCATGTCATCCTATCAACATTAGGAAATTCAGCATATATAAATATATAAATAAAACATATATACAGTACATAGTCACATTCATATAAGCCATAAAATGACATATATTTACAAAAACATTTGAAGCTATGCTTTATGTTTTCAGTTCCATTTAAATCAGGAATTTAAGTTTTTAGCTTCTGCCTTGGAGACTTGATCACCTTGCTTGATTTGAGAGTTTGGAATGAACTTATACCCTATCTACTCATGCATCTTTAAAATATGGAAGAAGCAAGTAGCCTTCCAGGAAGTTCTGCCAAATCCATAAGAGAAGTTGAAATATGTTGAGATATTATTTACCTCACTGAAGAGTGATTTACATGTAACCAAACACAGAGAGACCTTCTGTTCTTGAAGAATGGCAGTACTTTGGTCTGGTCCATAAATAAATGTCAGTGCCATACAACATTAGGCATTACAAAACTGGGTGTCTGAGAGTGGTGTGTAGTAAAAATTTATGCATAATTTCTACTCATTTTTTCTTGGTTTAGACTGGTAGAGCAGTCAAAGTGAATGAACGTAGAGATGAAAAAAATATATAAATTTTGAGTTACCATACAGGGTCAAAAATTAGATAGAAGATTACTGTACTGTTGGCATTATTGTAGCTTCTTTTATCAATAAGTTCAAAGATTAATACAACCCCAATGATCTGACATTTATATAGTGCATATTATACAGCACTGTGACTTCCAGGAATTGCACATATACCACTTCTCCTAGTATGGAAAAATATTTGTTCACTGCTTCATAAAACATTCTTCTTAACCCAGATTCAAGCATCCTTTTTTTGATTTAGAGGAATTTACAAAAGGAAATAAGGTTTTGGAGGAGGGGCTGTTTAACTTATGAAGAACACTTGACAAAAAAAATCAACCTCACAATGCAGCAGTTTAAAGAGTCTGTATGTGAAGACTCTTGGGGAAAAAAATCTTGCAGTCAACTGTCAATCCATGGCTTCATATAGCACTTTCAGTGACAGGCAGTGGAGTTGTCTCTTGCTCCTCACTGTTCTCTGTAGATACATCCTGGACCTCCTGCTGCTGATAGATGTCTTGAACTAGCATGATGTTTGTGTTCCTCCACTCTCTGTATTTCATCGCCGTCAACTTTGGGTCCTCTAACAACTGGTTAATTGTAGCCAAGTCATGTTCCTTACACTAGGAAGAGATCAAGAGGTTATTTCTCATAAACGCTGTCAAGATCACCATCCATAACAAATCACCCTTGGAACATTACAGAACCATGTCACAGGGAGATGGCCAATGATCCATTCTCTTGGCAACTTGTTCTCATTTTTATTATCAAGGTTATTGAAGTCAAGTCCACAGCAAAAATTCCTCCTGGTTGAAGGAGAGATTATGATTTTATGCAGTTGTTTTGTTTTGCTTTGCTTTTATAGGATTCTTAGCAAAACTTTATGAATGAAAAGTTGAGAAAATTAGACACTGGTTGATTAATTCATATGCTGGCAGTGTAGCCTTTAAGTAGTTAGTGTATATGTGGGTGCTAATACATTAGTCACCGGATCTTAACAAATCTGGCCTCTACTTCCAGACAGGAGCAGACTGTATAATGTGAATACCCTGGTTCAGTTGAAAAACAGGGGCAGTCATGTCATGGTACAGGGAGGCTAAGAGACTTGATGTCACAGAATCACAGAATGGTTGAGGTTGGCAGAGATCATTTGGTTCAACTCCTACTCAAGCAGGGTTGCCCAGAGCAGAGTGCCTAGAACCACTTTCAGGCAGCTTTTGAATAACTTCAGAGATGGAAAGTCTACCAACAATACAGGTAACCTGTGCCAGTGCTGTTACCCAAAATACACTTACGTTCACATGGAACTTCCTGTGATTCCTTTTATGTTCACTATCCCTTGTCCTCTCACTGTCTACCACTGAAAATAGTCTAGTTCTATCCTCTTTTCACATTTTTTTCTTCTCTATTGCCAAGTGTTTCATCATACCTGAGAAAACTATGCCTGCAATTGGCTTCAAAACTCCTTGTCAACACACACATATTCAGAATACTTCCTGACTGTAGCAATAGGCTGCCATCACATACATATCCCACTGCTATTCTAATCAACAATTTTAACACCTCTGAACTTTTCAAGCAGAAAAAATTATTAAACTGTTGGTTTACATTAGTCCTATTTTCAAAACCAATCCTTGTATGAGAGTTTCTGGCATCAGTATGTAGATACACTGGTAGCCTAAGAGCTAAAGAATAAATAAGGAAAAAGAAGGGAGGAGTGTTTACGATGCACAGACATGATGGCAAAAAGCCATACTGCAGATTTTTTCTGCAGCACTAAATCTATTTTCCCACATTCATCAAGATTGTGACGCATTTGCACACGGCTTCTTTCTCTTCTTAACAACCCAAAGTATGTCTTGTTAATATGATATATCACGGCAGGAACATTTATCTGTCGTTAAAAAAAATTGCGTCAAAAGACAAAAATTAAGATTACACTGAATGTTGCATTAATCTTTTGCCTTAAAACTAAGAGGTTTCTGTCTAAAGCACTGTAAATATGGATCAGATGCAAAGCTTCTCTGATCTTGAAATTTCCAGTAGATCATTTCAAATTATCTCATGCCTCACATTTTATGTTAATATGATTGCCTTTAAAAGCACATCATCCTACTGATGCAAAGAATATAGCACATTCCCACTACAAGCATTTTCTTTTCAGACAGGCAAAGACTGCTGTGCATAGAACTCTGTGTCTGTCAGACACTGCACTATATTTGTCTTGTCAATACTCCAATCCCTTAACTTGAAGAAAGAAATCAACACATTTTATGCATTGTGAACAGTCTAAAAATGATTTTTCCATACTAAATACAAATGTTAGACAAGTCTAAGTTTGTAGGCACTGCTAATGACAGTTTATACGATACTCCTGGGTTAAATTGTTGTAAAGCTATTCTTCTTGCTCATGTCTGACAGAAAGGCTTCTAGGTTTGCATTCAGATCCAAACTAATAAAATAGACTACTGCACAGCATACAACTCCATTGTGTACTAACTGGTTCTTATATTCATTAGGGAGGTTCATATTACGGAAAGATTTAGATACGTGCTTCCATATTTGTTTTCCTGTGTCATAAAATAGGTGTGTTTTTTAAACTTTCTGTTTTATAATAAGCTGAACTGCATTCCTGATGCAGAAGGATAATATGGTTATACCATGTCATAAGAGACCCATTTATCCTGAGGAGAAACTTCACTAGGTCTCATACGGAGCCTGGAAGTCCTGAAGAAGGCAGGACAGCTGCACTCCAATTTGACTTTTAGACTGTGTTTTCAGAAAGTTTAAGACAAGCCTGGTTGCCAAAGCCAAGCCTCTTGTTGCAAGTAATCACTGATTGTGATTATCAGAGAAGTTTTTACATGAACTTCTTTGGGGTGCTATGTCTGAAGCCAAATACTCTTGCCAAAAATATGATAATCGAATCCTGTTTCTAGCAAAGCCCTTGGTTGGCATTTATTCTTTCTCTTTAGAACTTAAATGTTATGGCTATGCTTTCTGTTTGATTGAATACCATTCATAAGCAGGTTTTGAATTCCCGTGGCATTCAAAATGATACTGGGTAAGTCTCATAAATCTTCATATTCCAGACAAATTTACTGGCCTTTTCATGGAATGTTCCCCTAATCCCTCCACCCCTTCAGTCCACAACATAAAAGCAGGATGCTTTTGTTATTAAATATATTTGTTATAGGAGGTCTTTACAAAGGCTTTGGCACATCCTGTACATTCCCTAGTAATCACAAAGAAATCTTTTCTGGCTCATGGTCATTTTTGTGTCCATCATCAAGGTACTTTTTCTGCTCTTCCTTTTTTTAAGGCTCCCTTGTTTATGGCATTCAGCTGAGCTTGCAGGTTTCCCAGCTAACTAAGAGAGATGTTCTTTATTAAATTCTCCAAATGGGCTGGAATTTATACAAGAAGGTCCCTTCTGAACTATTGCCTCCGCTCCCAGATCAAGTTTAACAACAAAACACAGACCACAATTCTGACTAAAAGAGAAAACAATTTCAGAAACTTAACAAACTCTCTGGAGCTTAAAGTTAGCCTGTAATTAGAGTTTGGCTTTATTCTTTTCTCAGCCAAACTATTTCTTTCTCTCAGGCTTTTCCTTGGCTCAATCTGTAATCTCACCTTTAGTGTGCTGTTCAGCATTCGAATTTTGTGGAGTTTCTCATTAATAGAGGGGTTTTTGCTGCGTTTGATAAATGACTTCCTAAGCTCCTTTTTGGTTGACAGCCGGCGATCACCAATGGGAGACAGACTTGCTTGTTCTAATGACTTGTAAAGTCTCTCCATCTCATCATCATCACATTTTTCATGATCTGCAAAGTAAAAAATAAAGTGTGTATGAGAATATGAATATGGCAGCAGATAACAGAAACATTATATTCAGCAATTAGAAAGACTCAGCCAAGTCAAAAAGTAATGGTACTATAATCAAGACCAAGGGCAGTTCTTAGGGTAATCATGCAGATGAGAATGACATACAGCCAAACTCAAATGTTTTTAACAATCAGGTTATGATTCATACAGATATGAGCATATGTTTTCACTGTTCAAGTGTTTCTTTAATGCTCTATACATACCACAGACTGAATAACTGTCAGTAGTGCTACACTCAAATAGCAAGCTAATTTGATAGCATCTACACTGATTTACCTTTCCCTTTCATGCTGCACACTTAAGTTAAGCACACTTCTAGCTAATATACATGCCAGATTCTGTTTGGTGCACCAACTTCTTGTCAGGCATTGATAATTCTTGAAAACACAGCAAAGAAATGAGACATAGAAATATGTCAGAGGCTACAAGGGAAGATACCTAGGAAACAGAATAAAACAGGACACCTTGGGTCACCTAATGCCTAAATCTCAAGCTTCACAGTGCACAGCACAAAATTTGCTTGTGGTGCCTCAGAGTAAAGTCTTAATTACCCCTTGCTCAATTGCTTTGACAGTTCTGAAGCTGCAGCATCATCTTCCATGTCAGACAGGACACAAAAGGAAAAGTTAGCAAGCAGCTGAGAACAGAAGAGGATAAAATAAGATTTAACAAAATGAAGCAAAGACCTTTTTTTCAGAATAAAACAACTTAAGAATGAACAAGCAGGAGCTCAAATGTGCCAAGCACTGACTGAGGCTATTGACAGAAGGCCATTTTCAGCAAAAAAGCTGTACAAGTTCTTCCTCAGAGCACACTGAAATTTTTTCTATTCCAATATTTGCTAAAGGAAAATCTTAATGTTATTGGTGTTCTCAGGATGCCAGTGAGTCCCTCAAGAACCACTGGGATGATTTTCATGTTTATTACACTGGAGACAGTGGTTTCAGCTCTTCTTAAATGCAGCCTTCCATGTGCTAGCTGAACTGGCAGCATGTTTTTTCTTTTAATTGAAAGTTAAACATTGACTTTTCTAAATCATCCTTAGTCAGCAAACATAAGGAAAATGTGCTCTTGCTCCCTCCTATTGCAGCAAAAAGATTTCTCCAGCTTCCAGTGCACTCAGAAAGGAGTCTGCTCCTTATCTTTTCCATATTTTAAAAAGTACAGCATCCTCCTACATTCCTCTCTTTTCTAAATATTTAGGTTACAAGAAAGGTTTATGACATGCTACAAATATTTGCCTTCACTCTGTTGCTGGCCTTTTTTTTACCACTTTGTGATTCTAAAAAGGCTGCTGTAATTTGACAAGGACTAAATATAGCTTCCATCACTGGTACAGTGCAGAGAGAGGAAAAAGAGAACTGTTGTATATTTAACAAGCTGTGGGAAATAGGAAAAAAAAAAAAAAAAGTGTAAGGCATAATACACCGCAGTGTATTTCCTGAAAACTGTTGGCTCATGCCATGAGGCTTGTAATTATAACTAGCTTCCTGCTTTCTTACTTGGGATGAAGCAGCTGTTTGTTCCATTAGCCAGTTCCTGCACAGCACTGGCTCAGTCATGTTGCAGACCTCACCCATCAAGACTGCACACCATATCATTTGCAAATGTAAGCTGTTTTTTATCAGATATCCAAGAGCATACCAACAGAAAATAATTTATTGACCAGACAAATACAAAGTCAGTGTTCCATTTATTTTTTGAGTCTAACTCACAGTGCTAACCTTAAAAATGTTACAAAGCAGCAACCATGAGAAAACACCTCTCTGAATATGTTTCTTCTGTCAGGTACTGACAGTAGAGGTTAAATACTCTTATATCTTCTGTGCATTTGTGGGTGAAGGTAAGGAGGACAGGACACTCAGCACAGAAAAAGAAGCAGGAACTAGTGTAAGAAGAACCTAGCAGAAGGCTCCCTGATCAGTACTGTGCACTTAGCTCCTGTATTTTACAAGTTTGCAGCCTCAAACTCCTCTCCTATTACTTATTCTTCCACTACTCCCATACCCAGAAGGAACCAGGTAATTTCGGAGGGAGAGGAAACTCTGAATTCTTCAGATAAAGTGTGGATAAAAGGAATGACAGTGAAGCCAAACAGAATTTCAGGAAACAGCTGGAAAAAAAGGGTGAGCGAAATCTACAGGCAGAGTGGAATCGGGCATGAGCCATACAAAGCTTTGGTCTCCACCTTCATTTATGCTGGTGGGTAGAAAGCTTCTGCTGTAACAAGTGAAGAATAACAAAACAGTATCTTAAAACTGCTTTTGTAAAGAAGATACTGTTGCATTGACAAAGAGTACATCTGCTAATAAACTGAGGCCGGACTGACACGTAAATTTAACTCCACTGCCCTGAGTTGCCCTGAGCTAAATTCAGAAAACAAACACCCATGTTTCGCAGGCTTGAAGCCATTAGTGAGTGTACTAGTTTCGTGGTGTGAATTTTAGGGGCAAGAGCTAATGGAGAAAGAAAAGAAGCACTATGTCTAGCAATCAATTAACAAAATCAATAGAATGATCAGTGATTAAAAACAACAACAACAAAAAAATCATATTTCTTCTTACTCCTAAAACTGTGCAGTGCAGTACTTTACAAGCCTCTTAATGGAAGGGAAGTTAGCAACGCATTACCCATAGATTGTCCCACAAAACACCTGAAATAAAATTCATGCTTGATAACAGAAAGAAGGTAATGTGACTCAAGGTTTAACATGGACTGGGATTTTTTTTCTCTGGTTTCAGACATTCACAACACACTTGCTCAGAATTCTGTGTTGCTTATTTCCCTCTGCATCTCAGAACAGACTCCTAACCTGTCCATCAGCAAGTCTAAGAGAAAGCTCAGGCATTCCTGTACCTGGTCTGTATTTCTAGTCATAAGTGATTCAGACTCCTATGAAATCTGGCCTGTCTAGACCTACTATTGAATTGCTACAAAATATTTGCTTTCCATCACAAAGTGAAAATTCATGCAAAAAGCACATAGCACTCAAGCTCGGGCATCAGTGTAAAAACAGATTTGTGTGTCAGGCTCACAAAAAAAATGAGCTGCCCCTTTGCTGAGTTTTGTTAAGCTTATAAGATTTATGATGATGGATATATATAGTCTGCTAAACAAAAACTTATGTTGCTGTGAAAGTAGTTCTTCCTGTTTATTTCCATGGAAACAACAACAGATACAAAGAGCACAATTACACTATTTGATTAATTCTCAGCTACAAAACACTGTTTCTTGACACTGCCACCACCACTAACATTTTTACCAGGAATGTACAAGAGCTGGTATGCCATGCTTACAAAAATCTTAATGGCTGTCTGGAAAGTGGCCTGTCTTTCAACTTACTGTCACCATTGGTGAAACACAACACTCATTGCCCCACATCCCCCACAGTACTCACATCCACTGTTCTATCTCCAGAAATGTTCAGTAATGTCAGTGGATGTCAATAGCTGTCAATTTTTTTTCCTCACGGAGGAGTTCAGTTCCACATCTTTGCTTCATATGCACTTCCATGGCAGATACCTCTCTGTCATAGTGTCCCTCCGCTGCCATCTGTTCCATGGCAACAAAATTTAATGGAATATTGGCTAGAAGGTTCAACCACTACTGCCATACCATCTGCCTCTGATGTGATGGGCCAACATAATAAGATTGGAGGCATTACTTTCAGAGCAGTCTTAATTAAATGGGCAAGTTGGTCCTCACTAGTACTGCTCTGAAATGAGGCGCTGGAGCAGGTCCAAAGAAGGGCAGTAAGGCTTGTGAAGGACTTGGAGAATATGCCCTACAAGGACAGACTGAAGGAACTGGAACTGTTTAGTCTGGGGGAAAGGAGGCTGAGGGGAGACCTTATTGCTCTCTCCAAATATCTGAAAGGTGCTCACAGCGAGAATGGGATTGGTCTCTTCTCACTGGTGACAGGACAAGGGGAAATGGCCTCAAATTGTGCCAGGGTAAGTTTAGGTTAGATATCAGGAAAAACTTTCTTACGGAAAGGGTTGTTAAGCACTGGAATAGGCTTCCCAGGGAGGTGGTTGAGTCACCATCCTTGGATGTGTTTAAATGCTGTTTGGATGTGGTGCTCTGAGACATGATTTAGTGGAAGACTGTTAGTGTTAGGGTAGTATGGTTAGGTTGTGGTTGGACTCAATGATCTTTAAGGTCTTTTCCAACCTGAGCAATTCTATGATGCAGCTCTCTTAACTTTGTTGAACTCCACAGTGGGGACCCCAAAAAAGTAAAGTCCTGCCCTGAGGTATTTTAACATTGCAGGGAAACAGTCTGTTTATGCTGAGACAATGAAAATGAAGTGAGATTTCAGGCTGGCCAGAACTTCTTACAAACTCCATTTCAAGAGGAGTAAAACACATCTTGTGGCTCAATGCCACAAAGGAATTTTCACCAATTTGGAATTTTCCTCTACCTAACAGGAGATACCACAGACAAGAGCATGTTGCCAGAGGCACAGCACATCCGTTTTGCACGCCTCAACTTTCACCTTCTGCATCCATATCAGTCAACTTGCCACAGGTGGGCGATATTACAGTATGGAGACTCCCCACTCTGCAGCAGTAACGCAGGAGCCTGTCTGAAAACTTTCAGATATAAGACTATTTAAGCCCAAAAAAGTGAAATTATCCAGAAGTTTTCAGGCAGCAGCTGTGAAAAATCAAGCTGATTGCTTCCCAGTGGTGAAGAAATAGAAATTGGCCATGATTTGCATGAAGAATATTTTGTATTGAAAATCATCCCCAACAGAATATATATTACTAACTCTAATCTGAACCCCAGAAATTTAAGTACTTATTCTTCCATTCTCTAACTGGGATGTCATAGCTCTCCAGCTGTGCATTAATCCCAGGAAAAAAAATCTTCTTCTTTCTCCTGTCTTTGCTGTACTTCCAAGCTTCTTGTGGCTGTGCCAACTCTCCTGTTCCTG